TTTGAAAAAATAAAATCATATTTTCACATAAATGATAATTTGAAGCAACCCGGAAAAGGTGAAGATAAATATGACAAACTTTATAAGATCCGTCCCTTATTAAATAAATTAAAAGAGAAATTTAATGAAATATCACAAGAGGAATATCAAAGCTGTGATGAACAGATGATTTCCTTCAAAGGTAAAAGTAGTTTAATTTATTTTGCAAAATATGAGTTTTTAATTTAATTTATATTTCAGGTCATCATAGTTTGGGGGCTTTAAAATGTTTTCTAGAGCTGGGGTGTCTGGCATTATATATGATTTTTGCCTTTACGTTGGAGACGGAACTTGTAAGTCTTATGGACTTGGATTGTCTTCAGATATTGTTTTGCATTTAGCTTCAAACATTCCTGACAATCAAAATTTTAAACTATTTTTTGATAACTGGTTTACTTCAGTAAGCCTAATGATAGCATTAAAGGAAAGGGGTATCTTAGCAGTTGGCACAATTCGCAATAACCGTCTAAAAATTGCAATCTTCTTAATGAAAAACAGTCAGCTGGCATAGTGATGTAAAAAAACATCGATGCATCGAGCATCGATGATTTTTCGGCGATGTTTTTCGATGTTTTCCGATGTTTTATGTTATGCCGATGTCTATCGATGCATCGATGTTTAACCAAAACATCGGGCGTCGAGTTGCACAACATTGCAGAACATATGGTTTCAGTGCCGCACAGACAAATTGGCGGTTTTTGTTTTAGTAATGTAATGATGTAATGAAAAAGACTGCTGAATGCTCATGAATTGATATAGTTTTAAGTTCGTTTATAAAATTGTTAACAAAACCACTCAATGAAGAAATAAAAAAGAAAAAACTAAGAAAGCTTTTATTTTTTTAGTCTTAATTCCTTCTTATTTAAATATTAAAAAATCTCAATAAAAAATTTAATAGTCTTCTACAAATTGAATTAACGAAAAATAACGGAATGGGTTGAAAACATCGATGCATCGATGTTTCTAGCCGATGTTTCACAAAACATCGATGTATCATTTTGCAAACAACGATGAAGATCGACATCGATGTTTCGACCCAAATTTACATCACTAAGCTGGCAAAGGCAGGGGATCTTTTGACATAAAGGTCGAAGCAACTTATAACTTGATCTCGTGTCGCTGGTATAATAATAAATGTGTTCAGCTTATTTCAAATTATATTGCTGATACACCAGTTTCTGAGTGCATGCGTTGGTGCCGCAAAGAGAAAATCATGGTTAAAATACCTCGTCCTGCTATTGTAGATATGTATAATAGAAACATGGGGGGTGTTGATCTATCAGATATGCTATTAGAATTGTACAAAGTAAATCATCGCTCAAAAAAATGGTACATGCGAATCGTTTATTGGTGTATAAATGTGACAGTGGTGAATAGCTGGCTACTATACCGCCGAGATCATAAGCAATTATTTGAGAGAACAAAACATATGCCACTTCTAAGTTTTCAACTAGATATTGCCAAAGAGCTACTTAATGCTAATGTGGTTCAATCCCGAAAAAGAGGTCGGCCTGCATTTGCTTTATTAAATTTTAACTCTTCAAGCTCATCAATAGGTATTGCAGAGCAAAGTTCTCCAGCTTCTTCCAAAGGGATTGATTCACCAAAATCTTCATTTCCAAAGAGGTCTTATATTATGACTCCAGCAAAGGCAATAAGATACGACCAAATTGGTCACTGGGTTCAGTGGGAATCAAAAGGTAGATGTAGAATGTGTACTACAGGCTTTCCCAGGTCAAAATGTTCAAAATGTATATCCATTTGTGCTCAAACCCAAATAAAAATTGTTTTTTACTGTATCATACAAATACTAACACCGAAAAATAAAGATTGTTAATAAAAATCTCATAATTGTATTTACTTGTAAAGGTAATATTACTCATACGTACGTACTTTTTTATATATATGGATGGACAAATGTTGCCTATAGGCAACATTGCAGTAAGGACATACCAAAGGACTTAGAGTACCGAAAATCGGAATGAAAGTTACTTGGGGCTCCTATAAATCATTTATAGCATTAAATATTTTCTATGTGTCCCCAGTTTAATTTGGGCATGAAAGGGTTAATTAGTTTTGAATTTCGAATTTAATTTTATCAAGATCGGACGACTGTATCATATAGCTGCCATAGAAACGATCGGAAAATTGGTGGGAAAATAATATGAAACAAATTATATCTTCGCTGTTTTTTGACATATTATCCTATACTATTGGAAATATCATTTCTTGTGTTTTTAAATTTAATAATTATAACTGCAAGGGTATACAAACTTCGGCTTGCCGAAGCTAACTACCTTTCTTGCTATTGATCAGCTCACAGATGTCCCTATAGTTAGTTTGATAGGTGTTTTAACTAATAAAATATTTGAATTCCAAAGTCCACTAATTAAAGTTTAGAATATATTTAAAATATAATGGGTTTTCACGTCGTAAACCCACACCGATCTGCAACTTCAAAATAAAGTAATCACGGGGTTCTGCGCTTCAAACAACGACGCGATGTTTTGCAAGATAGCCACGCAAGATACCTGCGCCCGCAGAGTACACTCAGGTAGAACAATTGCCGCACGCAGCCCAGCCACCTATCACCAAATACCAAAGTAGACGATGGGATCATTATCATCAATTGCCAGCGTAGACGATGCGATAACTGAACTACAACTCCATCATAAGCAAGACCCCTATTGTCTCCGCATCGCCGTTGCTTAATATCATGGGCCATGACCAAGTTCTAAGCCTAACAATGCTGAAACGGATGAACGAGAACAACATAAACGTTATCCAGGAACTTCAGAGCTGTGTTTCACCCTTTGCAGGATTTTTATCGGCGCAAAACATTTCATCATCCACTTTCGGCTTGCGGAACCCATTGAATACCTTCATCCTTTAAACTAAGATCAATGCACAACATCTTTAACTTAATGTAACACTTACCTGATCTTATTATTTTCACTTAAAAAGACGAAAGAAGTAAATCTGCTGCGCACAATTTAAATGGCTTGCTTCCCTTTCAATAACTCAAACAGAATGAACCAAGTATTCCTCTCACCCCTTCACATGATTTCTTTTCATTTCTATTCGCTGTTGGCGCGTGCCACTGCACATATACCCTTTCTAAAGCGAAAAATATCCGACTACATAATTTTTACTTTTTTGAGTAAAAAATACAAAATGAATTCTTTAATAATGGTACTATTAAAATGTTTTAATTATTTAAATAAATTTTAACGAACTAAATTTCTATAACTTAACTAAAAAATTATATTGTTATATTAATGTATAATACGTAAGCATAACATTAAAAGTAAATTCAATTTACTTAATTTTACTATAATCAAATAATTTACTTTAATAAAACAATGTTAGTTGTTTTTTTTCGATATACAATAAAGAGAGGGAAGCTCCGAATATCTGCTTCTCTTTGTTACACGATCGTTTTCGTAGGCAGTCTTCTACACTGCGCCGACTTCTCTGCTGACGTCAACAGCGGCACAGCGTTTTAGGCACAAAAAAAAAAAAAGAAGCTTTTTGCCTTGAGCCATTTCACCGGGACCCTACTGCAGAACTGAAGGGGAGCGTTACTTGTTCTTCACTTGTGCAAGAGGACATGTCCCACGGGATTCACAAGGTGATTTCCAAGTGAAACTTTTTTTTGGAACTGAAGGGTGCCTTTACAGCTGACAGGGAAAATTAGATTCGTTTAAATATGAATTATTTATAATACGCACTAAAATCCTTTTGTAAAAAATATTTTTTTTCCAAGTCTTAAACAGCTTTAACACATTTCCTTTAAAGGGCAAAACTAATTTCAAATTTTAAACTGATTCCTATGCTTAAACAAATACATATAAAAGTTTAAACAAATATTAGCACGGCTTTCCCTCACACCTTTCCGCTACATTATTATTAACAAAGCATCAGTGAGAAAATCTAAAAACAGCGTTTATGAGAAAGTCTTGCAGAAATTGTAATATTTTAAAATTAAAAGATAAGAGTTCAACAAAATATTTGCATTGCGGAATAGGTTCTTTTCTAATGTAATATATGTGCTCCAACGGCTACGCTTTAAACAAGTGTTTATTTTGTAATTTCGCGACAAAACAAAATTAGTATAAAAATTCTAGGGATAAAGAGAAACAAAAATCGATATTTATTAAATATGTCATATTTAGTTATGCATCAAACGCTTTTATTTAATAAAGATTTTCACAAAAAGCAAATCACTTGAAGTTCTGAGATACCTACGGCTTTGGTTGGACGGGTTCAAAACCAGCCGTCAAAACCTTAAATATTGTTGTATAGTGTGCCGACAGAAATTTTAGTAGCGACTCCTTTACAAGTGACGCTTAAAAATATTATCGATTATACTCTTAAATCTTTTTTTCGATGGGACTGATAGTTTGGGAGATATGGCTGCCATATTATGGTAGCTGAAAGTTTTGTTTTGTAGCTCGGTTGACCTGCCGCGGCGCATTTGAACCGCGTTTTTCTCGAAACCACGAATAGAAGCCGGTGAGCACGATAACTCAAAGTTTACAACCCACATAATTCAAATTTGTTGACACATAATTTAAATTAAGTTAATTTTAGGAATTAAAGTTCAAGTTTTATTTAAGTCTCTTAGTTTAATTCGATTTTGAAATACACTAACAGAAAAAAGTTACTTTTAGTTTTCGGATGATCCTGTCACCAGCTATGATGTCCACCGGACGGGTGGTTTTTTGTTTGCAGTGTCAGCAAAAATGGTTTAATCAATTTCCAAAGTGCGTGATTTTGGCACGATCAGATCAACAAAGAAGAACGCTGTGGTCGAGTGCGTGGACTACCAGATACCCATTACTTAGCTAAAGAGGGCAAAAGTGCGATGGAAAGCGCCACCTACCACCCATTTCAATGTATGGTTATTGCGGGCGTGGCAAACTTTAGGTCAATCGACAAATGTTTAAAAGAACAATACATGTATTGTGAAATGGATTTCACTTAACACTTTATTCTTTAATGAAAACTGTGGGAGCAACAGTTTTGGGCGGTATGTGGGCGTAAGATGGGGCACGCCATGTTCGTGTAACAAACTTACGCTGCTTACGAAGATAAGGAATCCAAATTTATTTAATTACGTTTTACTTTTGTTTAATTTATTTAGTTTTTATTTTCTTAAAAAATAGTATTCCTTATAGCAGAGTATTTGGGACTTATTGCAATTTTCGTAACGCAGTCCAAAACATCGTTGCTCTTTAAGCCGTACAACAGCTCAGATTCAGTCTGAAATTTCTGTTACAAAATAAATATTAAATAACACGAAAACTAAATCCATCCATACCATTATGATACCAAAAGTAATATCATTACAATTTTGTGAATCTCCTATATCCAGTACTTCCGTGCTCGAAATAATATGTTTCTTGAAATAGTAGATCGCTGAAGCATCATTACTTTCCAATGTACCTTTGACAATATTTTTCGTTGCATTGTAATGTAGCTTTTCGTCTAAAAAGGACAATTCTAGAGTGTTCTCGTTAACGTAACTAGAAGCGTAAAATAAAGACGCTATTCGTGAAATTGTGAAATGATCCACTTTCCTAATAGCCTGTGTTACTAATGGACCACATAGTTCTTTATATAGCTGCATTTGATTATCTTGAGAAAAGTTTCCAGCCGTTGAACTTTCACTTAATAGAGCACAATAAGTATTTTCACTTTTTTCTATTGATAATGGTACTAGTATAGCACACATTTTTGTAGGATCATTAATTAAACCCACCAGCTGTATTTTAAAATAAGGCAGATGTTCGTTTTTCACCTTTTTTAAAGCCACCACCATGCGAAACTTTTTCTTTACGAGTATATCTGTGGGCAACAGGAAGGCGTGGACTTGGTTGTCGTGGGATATTACAAATTTGCAATGAGTACTGTGCAACAGGAGCTGGCTCTCAATAGGTATAAGGTTAAACAATGCATAAATGCAACCTGCGCGAAGACCTTGATCCTGCGCCAGCTGTATATGCACAGCGACGTTGTGACAGCTAGGTACGTGGCGATGGAATTCAACGGACATTTTAAGTGCCGCACTAAATATGTTGATGTCTTTACTTACAGAAATTAGTTTTTGCATTTCATACTCCCTCTGTAGCTCTCGCTGAAACAAATTTTGGTGCCTTTTTTCAAACCGCGAGACTATGGCATTTTGTCTCAATCCCATTGGGCGATTTAGGTCTGATGCCAACATGTTTAGAGTCCGACCAGATGATTTCTGTATAGGTAAGTTAAAGCCAATGCAGTAAAATATGTTATTGTCGCTCAGGCAGGCCAATTCTTTTCTATGGTCTACCCAAGTGCAGGCCTGAATGCCGACCACTGGCTTAATCAAGGTGTGGACAAAGCACTCGTCAAGCTGGATGTTGTACATAAATCTCAGTCGCACCAGCTGGTCTCCGTCCGTGTAGTATATGTCACCATTGTCACTTGTCGCATCGTAATCCATCCATTCAGAACCAGTGTGATAAGTCTGACTTTGTTTTATTGCAAGAAGACTAGATACGTACCACACGTCAACACTACCACTGCTGAGGACAACCAAACAAAGGTTCTCAATTGGCAAGAGGCGAATATATCTTACATGAGACGCGTACACGCAGAGTAGCTCAATGTGGTAGCCTGGATATGAACTCTCTGATAAACCAGTAATATTAAAAGTCAAAACAAAAACATGTCCAGCTATGCTGAAGATGTGAACGTAAAGCGGTTGTTCCTCTTTTAACCCAAACAGGTTCTGCACAAACTGTTTTTCCTCTTCAGTGACCTTTAAAGCGGTAAGAGTGTACTCGTCATGCTGCCACTCGCACTGAAATATGTTTTTATCTTCAAAAGTAATATCGAATGTATATTGAAGTGTGGACTTGACGTTTTCGAAGCTAGGAAGATCAAGATACATCTGTAACAGCAAGCGTTGATCCTCCACTTTTATCACGCTAAATCCATCATTTAGAACAGCTAAACAGCGGACTCCACTGAGACATTTTATTAAATTTAAGCCCTTGATTGAGCCGAAGCAGTAGACATCTCCATCCGACATAAGCAGGATCGTGTTGTACTTTAAAGTGTGCACGCTCCTGATATAGTGTTCTCCCAACATGGGCAGTGGAACTTGCACCGCAGCCATTTTGGTCCTGGAGTTACCTTTAGACTTCTTGAAGTGCAAGTTTAGCAAAAAGTACTTGTTCCATGTGATAAACACAGACTTGCCGGCATGCGCTGCAGACACAATGAGTCCCCATGCCAAAAAGAGGGAGTCATCCTTAATCAACCATAGGTTTTCACCTACCAGTTCCATCGCCAATGTATTGATAAGCTCGAAATTGATTAAGGCGCCTTCACAAAATACGGAATAGGCACTAATTTCACTAGGGGAAATCCACAACAACAGTATGAAATGAATCAGAGTTCTACACCGTTTTCATTATAGAAGCTTCGCGTTTGCGTCCATTTAATCGAAGAGGGGTGGGAGGAAAACTTCCGTTTCAGGGCTACAAAGTAGAATTACGGTGTCCTAACTACCAGATTCAGCAGAATGAATTTTATTAGCAGCGAAAATATATATTTCTGAGTCAGCTATTTACTATTAAATACTAATAATAATTTGTATTATTTATTTCTTGTATTCATTCATTTCGTAGTGGCTAAATTTTTATTGGGCAAGTTTCGATTTTCGAGTTATTTTACACATTCTGGTATTCTGGCAATTGGAACAGCGATTTTAGGCGGATTTTTGTATACATAGAAATTCGCTAAAGCGAACAGCTGATCAGCTTAAGCAAGCCGTATGCGAAGGGATAGGACACGCAAATTAAGTTGCTCCGAAAAAAAACTGGAAAACAATGCCAAACTAAATACAATTTAAGCACTATAATGTGGAATGTTTTCAGCGTTAAATTAATAAAATTAAACAAGTATGACATTTCCATTCATTGAAAATTTAATAGGGCCAATTGTGGGCCAACAGTAACTATGTTTTTACTATAAGTTTCAGGAATCACTGTGGACGGCAGTCCACGTAGTGACGAAGCGCACCAGGAGCGTCGCCTTTGCCCGACTACTATATATACATGAAGAAATGAAAACGTACAGTAATCGTCCGATGGTTACGAGGTATGTATCGATCGAAAGGTATTGGAACCCCTAAAAGGATTGCTTACTAAGACTTAAAGAAAATCAATTAGTTTGGGAGAAAGAGTGGTGAAAGTGTAAAAGTAAAAAATTTGAAAATTTGATCTGTTGGGGCCGGTGGAAAAAAATACCCCCCGCTATTGACCTAGTTGTATTTTCAATTAAAAAATACGCGTCGAATGACACCTCAACTGTCAGAATCGGATGGTCCGTTCAAGGCTACGAAATTAAATTTGAAATCCAAATTCTCTATATTTGATAGTTTCCGAGATATCCGCGTTCATACTTACGATTTTTTGAAGTTTATGGGCGTTAAATTGGGCGTGGCAAGCTGCTAGTGATCCTGATCAAGAATATATATACTTTATTGGGTCGGAAACGCTTCCTGTTACATACTTTCTAGTATATACCCTTTTACTCTACGAGCAACGGGTATACAAATAATTCTGTTTGTCAGTTTGTCCAAAAATGATGATGACTATATTGATCTGCGTGTTGGTTTTTCGTGGACTTGTGCCTCATGCGTTGAAATAGACCGTGATTTGAATGGCTATGTTACGCTGACCAATGATCGTTTTATGAAACTGTTTGATAAACTTATGAGCGTAGTTGCTGATTTCAAAGAGTCTAAGGCGGACCTTAATAATAAAAAAATGGGATCTTTTGATTGTTTTTGGTGATTTCAATCTCCCTGACATTTCTTGGTCCCCTTCCACTGACTCACTTGTCTCTACCCCATTATCTGTCCATGACTTCGTTGACTGTCTGTTAGAATTATCATTACAGAAAGTTAGCTTTATTCGTAATTCACTAAACAGACAATTAGATCTTGTATTTGTTTTAGATCCGACTCAAGTCACGGTATCTAGAATTGACCCACTCGTTGTGCCAGAAGACCGGTATCATCCCATTGGAACTTACAATTTGTCTTCCCTGCGTTGATACCCTCTCTCCTTTACTTTCTCTAACTAAAAGTAGATGCTTTCGTAACTTTAATAAACTCAACAACATGATTTCACAATATAATTGGACAAATTTATTTAATTGCTTGGATATTGAGAGTGATACGGCACTATTTTATAGTGTCCTTAACTCTTTTTTCTGTGAATGTGTTCTTGATAGTTTTTCTCCTAAGTTAGACAGGCCTGCTTAGTTTACCAATAAGTTGCAAATACTTAGAAACCTTAAAGCAAACTTCTGTAAAAAGTACAAAAATACGGGTAGGCCTTCCGATTTTTCAAGATATGTGGTGGCTCGTACCGCTTAAATCTGTCTGCCGCCCAAATAACCATAAATTGAGATAGTATGTGGCGATTTACAATCTCGCTATGCTGCTAGCATATCTCCATCTCCCTTTGGTCCTTTTAGCTGAGTAACGGATATCTGATAAACGAGGTACTCGACTAAAAAAACAAAAAATCCGGACGTGTACACAACATTATGTACATTAAACAGCCAATCAAATTCCTGCATGGTGCTTCACATGATTCTTCAACTTGCAAGGCCTCATAACTTAGTTTGCTTGGGAGATGGGTACTAACTTTATTACAATCCATATTGAATTTTTTAAAGCATTTATAATATATGCAGATTGACTGAGACAAATTCGATCATCTTTTCGATCAATTTTTATACCAGTGAAGTATTGTATTTCACATAAGTCAGTCATTTGAAACGTATTTAAAGGATACGTTTTAAATTTTGACATAATTTCGGTGGCAATTACTACATCGTCAACATATATATATATATATATATATATAATTAAATCTCTGCACCATAAGTGTATTAAAAAAACTTTATTTAATTTACTTTTACACTGGTTACAATATTTTGGAAGAACACCGACCTGCTGTTGACAAGTCTCAAACTTAACTCATTCTCTAACTCCTACTTCATTTACGATCAACCTCGTGTTATGTCCCAAAATAGGCTACGTGTGTCCGCGAGGGGGCAGCGCCGGCTAGCTCTAGAGCACTTGGGGTGTGGGTACTCCAACCCTGCCCACACACACGCAACAATAAACAAACAGATGTTTGTACTTCACAACACTTCACGCTGCAACAGCTGTCTTATGGCTGGACCAAAACATTGACGAAATATGCGAAGCTATAAAACTAACACAACACGTGATTATCACAAAACTAATTCCCCGACTTGTTCCTTTCTAGGTCACAGGACGCCATCAGATATATTGTGGGCTTTTGGGGGCAAACCCAAAGCCTCTGCGCTCCCACCCAACCGTAGCAGCCGTAGATGTCTCCGACTGCCCCTTGGACCGGTCACCGTAAGATACCTTGGAACCGTTTACATGTTCCCTCCCCTCTGAAAGATATGTCTACTCCATATTCATTCTAGTACCATTTATTCACTTAAATTATTTACAGGGCTTCAGCTTCCCGTAAGGAAACCCATCAACCACCGCCCGCTGGGTGCAACAGTCACACCAAGGGATTTACGTAGACGGGTAGACTGGTCTGTTTTCTTTATTTCGGTCCCTACCTAAAAGAGCTCTCTTAAGCGGATCCCAGACCCGAGGATAACACACGAACCTATTCTACGCGGTCGCTGGAGAGGATTCCCCGTGGGATTAACAAGTGCGATAAATTGCAAAAACTAACAGATACAAATGTGAAAAAACACTCGCCGTGAATTGTTCACATCCGGCAATAAACAGTTTAAAATTTGTGATATAATAAATAAATAATGGGTAGTATCTATGTGCAATATATATATAGGTTAATTTTAAAGTGTTATATAAGATCCCCTGCCCCAACAAATTTTATATGAAAAGAACATACATAATTAAATAAACAAATAACTAAATAAATTAAGGGACAACACAACATAAAGATAAAAGGGTTATGTTTGTGCCTTACCGAAGTAGACACTTCCGGGTCACACCACGGGACAAGGGGGTAATGAGCACTTGTCGCTGGCACGGGGACGCTTTGATGGCAGGACGATCGCGTCGCGGCAATGGTAACGATGGTTACTGCGATGCCGGACCACAGGCGATGCTGAACTGCGCTGAGGGTGAGCTAACGTGGGTCAGCTGCTAGTGGAGATAGTGTATTACGAGCCCTATTCGCAGAGGTAGGAAGTAGAACCGCGGAGTTATGAGATGCGTTGATAACTGTTTTGTTCTTCATTTGGAACATGTTTATATACTACTTGGAACACGGAAGTTTAGTGTAATGATTAGTGAAGTAAGCTATTTTCTAAAGTTGGTCAGGGAATTATGATTATGGTAGCAGTTTGTGTAGTTGGCTCGGCAGACGCTGCAAATTGTGCTGACTGCATTGGCCGGTCAGTGTGCCGTTGAGTCGGCGAGACAGTGAGTTAGTGAGACATATAATATGCTGATCAGCAATTCTTATATGCAGTGGGTGCTACTGTGCGCCTGGTACTGTTCCCAACTTGGCTACTGCTTGATTTGTTGGGTGTGGTCATGTTGAGTACCTTTGGGTACGAACATTCCCCATTGGGTACCCTCAATTAAGTCGTGATGTCGGTCAGCCCTTGACCGAATTGTATAGGAAGCGCCTAACAAATCGTTGACCAAGGTGGATCTTTCCTTCAACTGCGGTTCATGTTTGTGATTCAGGTCCTTCACGTCTTCTTGATGCTGCTTAACACTCCCCTTTGCGATAAAATTGACATTACCGTGGGGAGTGAAAGTGTGCCCTCGTAGAACTTGATCATTTGGCACGTCTATGGTATGTGGACGTTCTGCAACAAAACTAAGATCTTTCTTGGTTAAGTTTAGAAATGTTGAACCAAAGTCAGCCTTCTTGTAGGTTTTGAATTGATGAGAAGTCGGTTCTATATTCATCGGATTTTTATCTTTCGTTGGCTCATAAGCAACGTTCGGTCCTGCAAAATCATCTCTGTTTTCTGTTAGATTGGGGTTGATTTCCGTATCAGATGAGGTTTCTTTATTGAGATAACCTGTGATTACATAACCAAGCCTTGTGCCTTGTGCCAAAGGTTTATTAGGTCCTAGTTCAAGACGTTAATTACACGAGAAAATACTTCAACCCCTAAAATTAGGTCAATGGGTCCTGGTTGCCGAAAGTCAGGATCTGTTAATGGCAGTCCCTCGGGAATATTAAGATCGGTTGTAATCGGTACTGACGGTTGGTCTGTAATGACTGTGGGCATAATAAATACCTCTAATAGTTTTTCGAACCCTGATGTACAGGATGCGAGCTTTAGTGTTGATCTAATTGCTATTGATATCTTTCCTCCGATTCCAGATATTTCAATCGGTGACCTTTCCTTAAGAGATAGCAGATCGGCCATTCTCCTTGAGATAAGATTCACCTGTGATCCACCATCTATTACAGCGCGACATGTTTGTAATTGACCGTTTGGCCCTTGTAATGAGACCTTCGCGGTCGCGAGCAGAGTATATCCTCCTATGTTGTTGTAGCCTGCAATGGTTACTGCACCGGCCACTGGATTGCTAGTCGGTCCTTGGTGTAACAGTGAATGATGCCGTTGCTGGCAGACTCGACAAGTGGTCGGTGATCCACAGTTTTCAACCTTATGAGCTGTAGACAAACAATTTGTGCATGCTCCTACTTGAATAATGGCTTGACGCCGTGGGGTCCATTTGCTGGATACGGCTACATGCTCTAAGATTATGTTGTCCTAGGTGACAAATCTTGCAGCTCTCTTCGTTGTGAACTGACTGATGGCGGAGTGTTGCTGTAGGTTGAGCGCTTATCGTCTCCAGCATGCAAGCGCGCCGCTCAATAAATGTCAGTACACTTCATAACGTTGGAATTTCCGTTGGTGCATCCGCTGAATTTTCTAGAGCAGCTAGAGACTGCTGGTCTAGTTTTCTTCTGATAAGAAAACACAGGATTGGATCCCAGGATTTTGTGCTGATATCGAGGCTTTTAAGAGTACTCATTGAGTTTTTTATAGTGTCATGTAAGGCCCTTAGTTGACGCGAGGAGCCGTCTATAGGCCTATGGTCAATAATTTTAGCTATGGCGGCGAATACAAATATTTTGCCGTTCTGGTACCTGGCCTTCAACCGCAACCTGGTGTCGTCATAGCCACCCTGTGAGAAGGCTGTGTCTGTCAAGACGTTCCTCGCTTCACCACGAAGCAAACTCTGTAGAATATGTAGTTTTTGACTGGCCGAATATGGTTTGTTATGTACCAACTCCACAAAGAGATCATGGAACCGTGGCCAGTCTAGATACTCGCCGTTGAACTCCGGAATGCTAATTGGCGAAGGTGCCAAGTTTAGGCTCATTGGCGCGTCGTTTTCTCGTAGCAGGTTCATTTCGTATTCCTCGTATAATGTGTGGAATTGGGCTAGCTCTGCTTCTGCCAGAGCTGCGGCCCCAGGTGTGCTATCCAATTCGTCGTGGGCTTGCCTCAGTAACGCCCAATGGAGATCCAGGTGCCTTTGTAGGGCTGGGGTGACAGTTGGGGCGTTCGAGGCTAATGTTAATGATGACTCCAATTCGTTGCATCTTCTCTGCAACTGTCGGATCACCGTGTCAATTGCGGAATCTCCTTTGACTTGATCTCTTGTTGTGAGCTTGATGTTGGCCGAAGTTCGTCTGGGGGCTTTCGGAAGCCCGCTTCCAGTCGGCATGTTGTCCAGAAAGATATTCTGATATTTTTCGACCAGCTCTTTAAGTGCTTCTAGTCGTGAAGAGTACTCACTTCCAGTGGGTAGTGCGGCTTGCTGGACTTCTTCACCTAGGTCGCAAAACTGCCGCCAGAGATCGTTTAACTGATTTAGCTTACCGGAATAATAGCCGTCTCGGTGGCGTCGGTCGGAATCCTTGCCATAATTCTTAATGAGCTGTTGGATTTTCCCTTGCAGCTCGGTTTGGGTGTCTAGTAATCGATTTTGTAAATCGATTCTTGTGTGACTTGTTTCCTCTATGAATGAAGTAGACATATTGTGTGTCTTGGAAACGAAGAATCCTGTGAAGCTGGATTAAGCTGAGTATCCTGTGAAGCTGGATGAAGCTGAAGTTCCTGTGACGCTGGAAGAAGAAGCGTATCCTGTGAAGCTGGATTAAGCTGAAGTTCCTGTGACGCTGGAAGAAGAAGAAAATCCTGTGAAGCTGGATTAAGCTGAAGTTCCTGTGACGCTGGAAGAAGAAGCGTATCCTGTGAAGCTGGATTAAGCTGAAGTTCCTGTGACGCTGGAAGAAGAAGCGTATCCTGTGAAGCTGGATGAAGCTGAAGTTCCTGTGACGCTGGAAGAAGAAGCGTATCCTGTGAAGCTGGATTAAGCTGTGAGTCCTTCAGTGGGAAGGGGGTTGCTTGAGTGTGATCCTTTGTTGTTAAAGGATCACGTCGGGGTCACCAATGTTTGTGCCTAACCGAAGTAGACACTTCCGGGTACACCGCGGGACAAGGGGGTAATGAGCACTTGTCGCTGGCACGGGGACGCTTTGATGGCAGGACGATCGCGTCGCGGCAATGGTAACGATGGTTACTGCGATGCCGGACCACAGGCGATGCTGAACTGCGCTGAGGGTGAGCTAACGTGGGTCAGCTGCTAGTGGAGATAGTGTATTACGAGCCCTATTCCCAGAGGAAGGAAGTTGAACCGCGGAGTTATGAGATGCGTTGATAACTGTTTTGTTCTTCATTTGGAACATGTTTATATACTACTTGGAACACGGAAGTTTAGTGTAATGATTAGTGAAGTAAGCTATTTTCTAAAGTTGGTCAGGGAATTATGATTATGGTAGCAGTTTGTGTAGTTGGCTCGGCAGACGCTGCAAATTGTGCTGACTGCATTGGCCGGTCAGTGTGCCGTTGAGTCGGCGAGACAGTGAGCTAGTGAGACATATAATATGCTGATCAGCAATTCTTATATGCAGTGGGTGCTACTGTGCGCCTGGTACTGTTCCCAACTTGGCTACTGCTTGATTTGTTGGGTGTGGTCATGTTGAGTACCTTTGGGTACGAACATTCTCACCCCCATTGGGTACCCTCAATTAAGTCGTGATGTCGGTCAGCCCTTGACCGAATTGTATAGGAAGCGCCTAACAAATCGTTGACCAAGGTGGATCTTTCCTTCAACTGCGGTTCATGTTTGTGATTCAGGTCCTTCACGTCTTCTTGATGCTGCTTAACACTCCCCTTTGCGATAAAATTGACATTACCGTGGGGACTGAAAGTGTACCCTCGTAGAACTTGATCATTTGGCACGTCTATGGTATGTGGACGTTCTGCAACAAAACTAAGATCTTTCTTGGTTAAGTTTAGAAATGTTGAACCAAAGTCAGCCTTCTTGTAGGTTTTGAATTGATGAGAAGTCGGTTCTATATTCATCGGATTTTTATCTTTCGTTGGCTCATAAGCAACGTTCGGTCCTGCAAAATCATCTCTGTTTTCTATTAGATTGGGGTTGATTTCCGTATCAGATGAGGTTTCTTTATTGAGATAACCTGTGATTACATAACCAAGCCTTGTGCCTTGTGCCAAAGATTTATTAGGTCCTAGTTCAAGACGTTAATTAATCGAGAAAATACTTCAACCCCTAAAGTTAGGTCAATGGGTCCTGGTTGCCGAAAGTCAGGATCTGTTAACGGCAGTCCCTCGGGAATATTAAAATCGGTTGTAATCGGTACTGACGGTTGGTCTGTAATGACTGTGGGCATAATAAATACCTCTAATAGTTTTTCAAACCCTGATGTACAGGATGCGAGCTTTAGTGTTGATCTAATTGCTATTGATATCTTTCCTCCGATTCCAGATATTTCAATCGGTGACCTTTCTTTAAGAGATAG